AGGATAAAGAAGAAAAGATAGAATCCTGTGTAATTTTAGTCCTATATTCCAAGTACTGGAGCTGTATCATAAATGTATCGATCAATAAAATTATATAACAGAAATTTAAAAGACTTAAAGTCATTCATTGTATAATAGGAACTTAGTCAACCCTGGTTAGCAAGTATAATGGTTGCAGCAAAGAAAAGAGAAATACAGTAGCCACAGCTATTAAACCTCAAACGTAAATCACTATGGCCAGATTAAACCTGTTCAAATATTACATGTCCACACATCAATTAATTTGTAACTGAATGGTTCATTAAAAAAAGTTTAAGAGGAGACCCGTGAGCACGATCAAAGTCTGTATGTTTATTGGTGTCATGCTGAAGTTCAAAGGAACAAAGCAGTAGCCAAACACTGGAGTGATGTTCTTTGAAAGGGATTTTTAATCCTATTTTCATACATGGAAGGAGAGGGATGGAATTTCAAAATTTGCTTTTTTAAATCAGAGTGGTAGTCAAACTAAAGCAGGGAAAAACAGGGATTTCTGTCCATCAATCATAGATGGTTGGTGGCTTTGATTTGATTTTAATGAAAGCTTCTATTGGGCTGCTTCACAAAATCATTACATGGTGACATACCTTAGCAGCCAGGCTCTTTTAGGTGAGGTGACACTGCTATAAGAGCAACGTCAACTACCATACACTATATATTTTTATGATGCATGATGATATTACAAGCAAGTTCACAAGTTCCAGTTTGAATATTTTTTAAGTTTACCCTATAAATTATCCTCTTTTGGTTTTTAGGCTGTACAGGTTTCAAAATTAGTGGTCAATTGGCTAGCATTCCTCTTTTAAATAATGTCATAGACCATGAAGAAATTAATATGCAGTCATAACTTTTATACATTCAATCATGAAGCATGAGTTTTTTTACCAACAGAAGAATGTAGTGATTAATACCAACAAAAACAGATTTTCCAATAGCACCAATGGAAAAAAAGTGTGTCAGAAAATCATGATAACCAACCAATCATTTAGCAGGTAAGAAAAAGTTACCTGGTGCCACACAATCTTGAGGTTCCAACAGTTTTCCAAGAGCTGCACAACCCTCAACTGCAAGTAGCCGAACAAAATCTTGATCTGCAAGAACAAGGGTGAAGAAGTCACCGGTTATATATGCACTTCGAGTTTCAGCAGATCAACAAAAATACTATTAACAATACAACTAAATACATAAGCATGACACACTCAACAATTAAGCACCCTAAGAAACTTGAAAGAAAGAGTGCGTGAGATAGAGAGAAAGAAAATAGACAAAAATTTAGTACTAGCACAAACCAATTACAGCTACGAAACTCCTCAAAGCAAGGGTTCCTAGATAACTTGCAAATTGGACTTTGTTTGACCCTGAAACTATCCCAGAAGTGGGATTCACGTCAAGTGATATTTTTGCCCCATTCATGTGCTTACGGGCTAAGCTTTTCATTCGTGTCGGCTTCCCCTTTTTCTTAGATATAGTCTGTGAAGCAGGGGGTGTAGGAGCAGCGGAGCCTTGAGGAGCAGGGGAGTCTTGAGGAGCAGTGGAGCCTTGAGGAGCAGCGGAGCCTTGAGGAGTAGGGGAGCCTTGAGGAGCAGGGGAGTCTTGTGGATCAAATTGAGTATCCATGTACCTGTTTTGACAAAAATAAAAACCAAGGTCAATTGCAAAATAAGTAATAAAACTAATTAAAAGCATGAAAAAAATGATAAATAGAATATTAAAGTATACATCAAGATATACATAACTTAATGTGGTAATTAGATAATAATGTTTTCCCATATGCCTTCATCATGGTCATTACGAGTGGCATGAACGTCATCTTGTTCAATTTCTTCGTTGTTAGTTGGCATACGTGTTGAGAAAGAAAGACTCTCCCCAAACTCAACTGTTGAATCGTCAAGATTGTGTACACTTCTACCTTGTAGAACCACAGACCACCTTTCATCAATAGGATCTTTGACATAAAATACTTGTGTTGCTTGGTTTGCCATGATGAAAGGTTCATCCTTATGACCCACCTTGCTAAGGTCTACCATTGTAAATCCCATTTCATCGGTTCGCACACCAATGTTAATATCAACCCACTTGCACTTAAAAACAGGAACTTTAAATGTACCATAACTGATCTCCCAAATGTCTTCAATGACTCCATAGTAACTTGTGGATGCCACAACAGGATTTTTATCATTTCTACTAGAAAAATGCATAGATTGAGCCTGAAGAGTAACCCCACTATTCTGCATGGTACTGTTATCATCTTGTGACTTTGTGTAAAATGAAAAATTATTGATATCATATCCAGTATAAGTAAAGACATTATATTTAGGCTCATTTGCAAGACATTTTAATGTGTCAGAAGCACTGTCATCACTAAAGACTTTTTCTTTAAACCATTTTAAGAATGTCTTGTTATGCTCATTGACCAATGATTTTTCATTCATTCTAGGGTTATTTTTCTTCAAAAAGGCTTGGTGCTCAGATATGTATGGGAGAACCTCCTCAGTGTTGTTCAATATATACAAATGTGCCTGAAGCAATTCCTTTCGAAGAATAAATTTAACTTTTAGGCCTTTTGTACCCTTGCCTTCAATTCTATCCTCATAACGAGACTTAGGAATCCCTACTGGTTTTGCTTTAGACATGTAATCTAAACAAAATTCAATAGCTTCTTCTGTAATGTACCTTTCAACAATAGATGCTTCTGGACGGTATGGATTCTTGCTATACCCTTTTAAAATCTTCATGTAACGCTCAACTGGGTACATCCATCGTAAATAAATAGGGCCACACAATCTGATCTCCCTAATTAGATGAACAATCAAGTGAATCATGATGTCAAAAAAACTCGGAGGAAAATACATCTCCAATTGACATAGGATAATAATAGACTCATTTTCCAACTCATCCAACTTGTTAGGGTCAATGACTTTAGCACATATAAGAAGCATAAACGAGTTAACACACTTCTAACATTATTAGGCAAAATGCCACATATAGCCACAGGTAAAAGTTGTTGCATTAAAACGTGACAATCGTGAGATTTTAAGCCAACCAGTTTAAGATCATTCCATGATACAAGACTCTTAACATTTGAAGAGTATCCTTGTGGAACTTTCACACCTCGTAGGCATTGACAAAAACTTATTTTTCTTTTCTTGACAAAGTATCACATGATGGAGGCAAATATGTACGCTTACCTTCTAACTTTGGATGTAACTGTTCACGTATACCTATCTCTAACAAATATTGGCGAGCATTCAGTCCATCCTTTGTCTTGCCTTTAATGCTTAAAAGTGTGCCTATTACACTATCACATACATTTTTCTCCATATGCATAACATCTATGCAGTGTCGAACATCTAGATGGCGCCAATATGGAAGATCAAAAAATATGGACCTCTTCTTCCACAACTTCTTCTCAATTGACTTCTTTTGGGTCTTTCCAAATATAATATTTATGTCCTTCACCTACTCATAAACTTGCTCACCAGTTAAGGGTGTGGGTGCAATTTCATGTTCTTGACATCCATTAAAAGCTTTTTTCAATCTTCGATATGGGTGATTAGGTTTGAGAAATTTTCGATGCCTAGTGTAGACAGTTTTCTTTCCATGCTTCAATTGTAGGTAGCTTGTTTGTTTTTCACAGATAAGGCATGCGTGATGTCCTTTAACACTATATCCACTCAAGTTCTCATATGCCGGAAAATCATTAATAGTACAAAATATCATTGCTTGTAGCTTGAAACTCTGTTGATGATACCCATCAAACACATCAACCCCTTCTTCCCACAAAATTCTTAAGTCCTCGATCAAAGGACTTAAGTAAACATCTATGTCATTTCCTGATTGTTTTGGGCCTGCAATCATCATACACAATATTACATATTTTCTCTTCATGCACAACCAAGGAGACAAATTGTAAATTGAAAGGAGAACAGACCATGAACTATGGTTGGTGC